TTTCTGTGGCCGTTTGCTGTCCGGTACGCCGCGCATCAGCTCAACCTCTGGCCCCGTGTCTCCTTGCCGGAGACCTCGCCCACACTGCGTTGGACAGGGGAGGTTGGCGATGCGTCGCGCTTCCGGGTGTGGGGTGCTCGTGCCCTTGTCCGCGATACGTCCGCGGACAAGCTCTCCTCCCGCACGCTTCCCTGTGTCTTCCTTGGCTTTGTCCCTGACGCGCCTGGCTGGCAGTTTTACCACCCCACCTCGCGCCGGGTCTTCGCCTCTCAGGATGTCACCTTTGACGAGTCGGTCCCTTTTTACCGTCTCTTCCCCTACCGCACTGCCCCCCTCCCTCCCCCGCCGCTTTTCCTTGCTCCTGGTCCCCCTCCGGTAGACCCCCTCCCCCCTCAGGGTCCTGCTCCTTCAGGTGTCTCTCAGGTAGACCCTCCTCCCGTCGCTGAGCCTGTCGAGGTCACAGGTGACTCAGGTGCTGCTGCAGGTGGTACTGCTGGGAGTGCTGAGCCTGGGGGTGCTGAGCCTGCGGGTGCTGGGCCTGGGAGTGCTGGGACTGCGGGTGCTGGAGCTGAGGGTACTGTGCCTGAGAGTTTGCCGCCTGGGGGTGCTGAGCCTGGGGGTGCTGCGACTGGGGGTGCTGAGCCTGCGTGTGCGGAGTCTGGGGGTGCTGAGTCTGGGGGTGCTGCGCCTGCGGGTACTGAGCCTGGGGGTGCTGCTACTGAGCCTACGGAGCCTCGGGTTACTGCGTCTGGGGGTGCTCCGGTTCGGGGTGCTGAGCAGTCTCTCACACCGCAGCAGCTTCGTGACTGGTACGTCCGGCGCTTTCGCCGTCCTAGTGGCTCGGCTGGAGTTGGGGGTGCTGGGGTTGCCGGGACTGGTTGTTCTGGGAGCACTGCGACTGGAGCTGCTGGAGCTGGGGACTCTGGCGCTGGCGGTGCTAGCGGAGTTGGAGCTGCCGACTCTGGGGGTGGCGCTGCTGCTGGTGCTGCGGACCCGCCTGGTGGAGCTGCTACTGGAGCTGAGGACCCGAGCGGTGGCGCTGCTGCTGGTGCTGGGGACCCGGACGTTGGAGCTCCTGCTGGTGCTGAGGACCCGGACGGTGGAGCTGCTGCTGGTGCTGAGGACCCGGACGTTGGAGCTCCTGCTGGTGCTGAGGACCCGGCCGCTGGAGTCTCTTCTGCTTCTGGAGACGCTGCGCGGCCGCGACCGTACTTCGTACCGCTCCTTCAGCAGGTTCTTGGGCAGGCTCCTCCTCCTTGTCCTCCTCCCTCTGTAGAGTGTCCTCCGCCTGTCCAGCCGCAGTCCCAGTTACCGCCTACCTCGCCTCTCCCTGCTCCCTCTCCCTACACTGGTCCCACAGGAGGTCTTACCGAGCGTCGTGAGCCTGAGTCTCGTCCTGCGTCGCCTGTTCGTTCTGCTCGCACTGGTCGTCCTGTCCGTCGTGAGCGTCCTCCTCCTGTCCCAGGCACTCACTACATGACTCTACGTCCCTCTACTGCTCCTCAGCGTGTCCCTCTACCGTCTCCTCCTGCGTCCTCTTTGCCTGCCGTTCCGGACCCTGAGTCTGACCGGTATCGTGCTGAGCACCCTACTGTCACGCGTCTTCTCGCCACTGTTGTCACTGACCCGTCGTTTGAGTCTGCTACTGCGTCTGCCCTGGTCGCCGAGCTTGTCGACTTTGCTGCTGCCTGTCGTCTAGACTACGCCGCCAGTCTTGTTACTGAGTCTGAGTCTGTCTGTCCTCCGTCCGTCGGGGGTGAGTGTGCTCTTGGCACGGACGTCCTTGAGGACAGGCAGGAGGACTTTGACTCTCTTGCGGCTGCTGTACCTCATCTCGTGGCCTGGTTGCTTGCCCCTGAGGGAGACCCGGATGCACTAGACATCCCCACTCCGCGCTCTTACGCAGAGGCGATCTCGGGTCCCTACTCCTCTCAGTGGCAGACAGCCATGGACGCAGAGATGGCATCCTGGAAGTCCACAGGCACCTACGTCGACGAGGTTCCCCCTCCTGGGGCGAACATCGTCGATGGCATGTGGATTTTCAGGGTGAAGCGGCCGCCAGGTTCTCCGCCTGTCTTCAAGGCTCGTTACGTTGCTAGAGGCTTCAGTCAGCGTCAGGGGGTCGACTTCTTCCAGACCTTCTCCCCCACCCCGAAGATGACCACTCTTCGGGTTCTGCTGCACGTTGCTGCTCAGCGTGACTACGAGCTTCACTCTCTTGACTTCAGCACAGCGTTCCTGCAGGGCAGCCTGCACGAGGAGATCTGGCTGCGCCGCCCACCTGGCTTTACTGGGTCGTTTCCCCCTGGTACCCAGTGGAGTCTCCGCCGGCCAGTCTACGGTCTTCGCCAGGCGCCACGTGAGTGGCACGACACACTGAGGACTACACTTGCGGCTCTTGGGTTCGCGCCGTCTACTGCTGACCCGTCGCTGTTTCTGCGCACAGACACGTCGCTGCCGCCGTTCTACATTCTCGTGTACGTCGACGACTTGGTCTTTGCTACTGCTGACACTGAGGCACTCGCTCGTGTGAAGTCGGAGCTGCAGAAGAGACACACCTGCACTGACCTGGGTGAACTGCGTAGCTACCTTGGCTTGCAGATCACCCGGGACAGAGCTCGCCGCACCATCACCCTGACTCAGTCACACATGGTGCAGCAGGTCCTTCAGCGCTTCGGCTTCCAGTTCTCCTCACCACAGGCCACACCTCTGGCTACCAGCCACTCGCTCTCAGCTCCACCTTCGGACGATTCCGTAGAGCCGAGTGGCCCGTACCCAGAGCTTGTAGGCTGCCTCATGTACCTGATGACTTGCACGCGACCTGACCTCGCGTACCCTCTTAGCATCCTTGCTCGTTACGTTGCGCCTGGGAGACACAGGCGAGAGCACTGGGAGGCTGCTAAGAGGGTGCTGCGTTACTTGTGCAGTACATCAGGCATGGGGCTGGTGCTTGGAGGACGCGACAGAGTTGTCCTCACTGGTCACTCGGACGCTTCTTGGGTGGACGACCTGGCTACGCAGCGGTCGTCACAGGGTTACACCTTCAGCCTTGGCTCTGGTTCTGTCTCGTGGCGGTCCACCCGCTCTTCCTCTGTTCTCGGCTCTAGTTGTGAGGCTGAGATCTACGCCACAGCCATGGCTGCGCAGGAGTTACGCTGGCTCACCTACCTGCTGACTGACTTGGGAGAGCGGCCTAGTTCTCCTCCAGTTCTGTACGGTGACAACAAGGCGGCTCTTGCCTTGTGTCAGGAGCACAGACTGGAGCACAGGACGAAGCACATTGCTCTTCGCTACTTTCTTGCTCGAGAGCTTCAGCAGCGCGGTCAGCTTCGGCTTGTGTACGTGGACTCGAAGGCCAACACTGCTGATATCTTCACCAAGGCGCTCCCGCCTAGTGATCATCAGCGGCACTGTACTTCTTTAGGCCTTGTGTCCACATTTCCTCACTTGCTCACTGCTTGACATTCTTTGTACTGTACTTTATATATATCTTGTTGCTTGCTTGCTAGGTTTTGATCACTGTATTGCTTGTCTTGTACTATATCTAGCACTGCATGTGAACTGGCCTTGTGGCCTTTACTTGTGCTCGGAGTGTGGTGACGTTGTGATCCACCCTGGGTTTTGCCTTGCTTTGCTGGACTGGTCTTGTGACCCTTTGTTCTCCCCCACTTTGCCTATGGGGGTGTGTTAAACTGTATTATGCTTGTAGGCTGTAGTGGGGTAGCCAATATGGGGTACAACCCCAACTAGGGTTTCATATTTGTACCCAAACTTCTGCTAGTTGATCATTCTTGCCCAGTTATTCTAAGAGCCCGAGGTGCACACACCGGGATTCGAACCCGAGACCTTCGCTCTGATACCATGTCAAAATCCCAGTCACTAACCACTGGGATAAAAGGGCTTGTTTGTGTAGCGGGTGAGTGCGCCCATAACCCCCCAGGCCAACATGCCTGTAACCCTTCCCTAGGATCATCGGGGATCTCCAGTGGACCTCTGACAGTGTCGTGGGTGGGTTGCGTCTGTTTCAGGCTTGTGTTAACTTGCCTCATGTATGCAGCAGAGGTAGTCATCGTCGTTAGGGCAGCGTGTTTTCGCTATTTTAACGACCCCATCAACCTTTGTTGCAGCAATGATGCATTTTAGCATTAGCTTTGAAGCATTCACAATCATTACGTTCTATCCTCGTTCTACGTGTTCTGTTTCACTAATGTTAACGTGCCGTGTTGTTTGTGTTTCGAGGCGTGGTGTTAATATGAATCGTGTATGCAATTTGGGATTGTCATCGCCGTTGGGGCAGCGTGTCTTCGCTGTTTCAACGAACCCATCAATCTCACTTGCTGCATTGATTCATACTAGCATCCACTTCGGTATGTTCAAAGCTACTCGTATTTGTCGTAGGTGTGCTGTGCTGTGCATAACCATTTGTGCCATTTGTAGTTTTCGCCTTCGTCATACATGTCGATGCCAGAATCTGTTGTCCGATCATACCATCTGCCGTATTAATGGACGATGATGTGATGGTCGGATGCTTTCATGGTTTCGACATGGCACGTGCATATTTGCTTTCACGTTTTGGCATATCGTTCAGGAGTGATCGTTTATCCACTTTTTGAGGCATCTATAAAACAATAGTTTTTCAAAGAGTGCATAAAACCCATTTCTGAAATGATATCCCCAAAATGTGAAACCAAATATATAAGGTTGCTACACAACCCAAAAATGAGAACATGACAACAAATGCTTCCCATGATTTGTATAAGCTACACAGTGCAAACTCTGTACTGCATGGTCGCTGACAGCGTAGTACATGTGCGAGAGCTAGCTCATAACGCGTTATCAATTCCCATCCGAGCGGTGATGGGGCCGTAGGCGGGGCAATCACGGTGTCATCCGCAATGGCTGCCATCACGGAGGTCACTAGGCTGACAGCTTCACAGGTTGCCACTGAATTCGCTGGCGATCGAATCAGAATCTGTCAATCTAGTCCAAGCAACGGCGATATGGCCATTAGCGAGGCTGTCGATCAGATCAGAGTGTCACCAGAGCCGAATCGACGGCGAGTATGCAATCTACGCATCGGAGGCGGCTTGCTGTCACCGGTGCAATCCCAAGGCGCACGAGTGGCCAGCGTTCGCGTCGCGCTGTCTGAATGAGCTGTCCTTACACGCCCAGACGTTTTCCAGTAATAGTGCCCTCGAATCGCGAGAGCACTATGTCGAATCCGCACCGCGGTGGCCCAGTGCCCCTCGAGCAATATAATTTCCTTGGTGCGATCGCTACTTGCAAATCAACCGAGCGTCGCATTCATCCGTTAACATCCCAACCTGCTGCAAGTACAGCCCGCGCCACTCAACCCCGCAGTCCGTCTCGTTCGTTCGTCGCCGTTCCTCTCCCACTGCGCCCTCCGCACCACCACGCGCCATGCCTCGCCACGCCCTTCTCCCGCCGCGTCTCCGCCTCGCGCTGCTCCTCGCAGCAGTCGCCGCGTGCTTCGTCCCGTTAGCGACAGTAGCGGGGACGCCTCTAGCGGGACCGGAGTGCGAGAGCGAGTTCCCGCGGCTGTGCAAGTTCGTGGACGATCTGCGCGACTCCATTCCCGAGCAGATCGACGCCGCCACCGGCGCGCCCATCCGCATCGGCGCCTACCAGATCCGCCAGGCCAGTTCCCCAATCCCCCCCATCCGCCCCCTGCTCTTCCGCACGCACTTCCGCTTGCTCGCTTCTCCTTCCGCTCCTTGCTTTCTCGTTTTCCCTGCCTCTCTTCTCTTCCCCTCTCGCCCCTTCCTGACGCCTCTCCGACACCTTCCCCCACCCCCCACGGGCTGCAGAAGCTGCACCGCGATCTGCCGCCAACGAAGCTGTACGCGTACGGCCGCAGCGCCGCCACGGCGCACTACCCCGGCCCCACGCTCGTCGGCCAGCGCGGCGTGCCCACCAAGGTAGTCACCGCCGCCTCCCCACCCGCCTCCCCGCCCACCTCCCCGCCCGCCCGCCGCTGCTCTCTCGTGTTTCTGCTGTGCGTGCTTCTATCGGAATGCCTGTGTGCGGGGCTGTGCTGACTTTGACCGGGACTGTGTGCTGTGTGCTGGTACCGGGGGGTCGGGGGGGAACGGCGTGGCAGGTGTATTGGGAGAACCACCTAACGGACCGCCACCACATGTTCCCCGTCGACTACACCCTCGACGACGTTCCCCGCCCACTGCTGGGCGGCATTCCCATCGGTGAGCCACGCTGCTGGGCGGCATTCCCATCGGTGAGCCACGCTGCTGGGCGGCATTCCCATCGGTGAGCCACGCTGCTGGGCGGCATTCCCATCGGTGAGCCACGCTGCTGGGCGGCATTCCCATCGGTGAGCCACGCTGCTGGGCGGCATTCCCATCGGTGAGCCACGCTGCTGGGCGGCATTCCCATCGGTGAGCCACGCTGCTGGGCGGCATTCCCATCGGTGAGCCACGCTGCTGGGCGGCATTCCCATCGGTGAGCCACGCTGCTGGGCGGCATTCACATCGGTGAGCCACGCTGCTGGGCGGCATTCCCATCGGTGAGGCGCCTTTCCATCAATGAGCCTCGTTGCCCCATGTAGAGTCCACTGCGACTTGGTGCACGTGCTGACTCTCACCTCTTCTGCTCCTCACTCACGCCCCACTCCCCACATCCCCCCCCTCCCCCCGACCCCTCCCAGTGACGCACCGGCACGGGGGCGAGCAACCCTCCTTCTCAGACGGGCACCCCGAGGCATGGTTCACGCAGTACAGCGAGGTGGGGCGCGCCTTTCGCACGCGGCTGTACCACTACCCCAACCACCAGCTGCCCACCACCCTCTGGTACCACGACCACGCCATCGCCATCACGCGCCTCAACATCGCCGCCGGCCTCACCGGCTTCTTCGTCCTCACTGACCCGCGCGGGGTGGAGAGGACTCTTGGGTGGCTGCCGCAGGGGGAGTTCTGCGTGCCGCTGGCGCTGTCGGACCGGAGGTTCTTTGCCAACGGGTCGATTGATTATCCGAGGCAGGGCGTGCTGCCGCGCGTGCACCCGCACTGGGTGCCCGAGTACCTGGGAGACAAAATCCTCGTCACTGGCAAGGTGCTGCCCTCATCCCTCTGCTCCTCCCACTCCCACTCTCCCACGCTCCTACGCTCCCACTCCCACTCCAACATCTGCCCCTCTTTCTTGTCTTGTGTCACTTTTAGGTGAGCTGCCTGCCTGCCCTCTGTCCCCTGTTTTTCCCTCCCCCTCATCTCCCCACTCTTCCTCGCCCCTTCGCTCTTCCCCGCCCTGCTGCGTGAATGGCAGGTGTGGCCGTACCTGAAGGTGCGGAGGGCGCTGTACCGCTTCCGGGTGTTGGGGGCGGCCAACACGCGCTTCTTCAATCTGCGCTTCATCTGCGCCACCCCCCGCAACTACCCCCACTTCACCCCGCCCTTCTCTGGCAACAAGCTGCCCATCATTGTGGTGCGTGCCAGCCACTGTGAATTTCTACTCTTCCCCACCACCACTCCATGCCTCTCCGCACCCCTGTACCAACCTGTTCCAACCCCTGCACCTCACGAATCACCTCTACCCCTGTACTACCCCGACTTCATTCCGCCCTTCACGTGCGTCGCATGCGTGCTGGATTCTGATTTGCCGCAGCTGCTCTGCACCCACTTCCCCAGCACCACTCCGCACCACTCAACCAACCCCCAAATTCCCTCAACCCCTTCCCTTTGCACCTGTCCCCCCGTCCACTCCCCCGCACCCCCACCTTCCACTCATCAGATCGGGTCGGACGGGGGCTACCTCCCGCGCCCAGCAGTGCGCACGTCACTGCTGGTGGCGCCAGCGCAGCGGTACGACATTCTCATCAACTTCTCCTCCCCTTGCAACCTCCATCCCCCTCTTCCCTTCAGATCGGGTCGGATGGTGGCTACCTGCCTCGCCCAGCAGTGCGCACATCCCTGCTGGTGGCGCCAGCAGAGCGGTACGACATTCTCGTCGACTTCTCCTCGCTGCGCTCCTCCTGTGCTGACGTCATCCTCACCAACGACGCCCCGGCGCCCTTCCCTGCGGGCGAGCCAGTGACCAACGACACGGCTGTTGTCATGCGCTTCATTGTCGACCACCACAGCCCCCGCCTGCCCGCCCCGCGCATTCCTAAGAGCCTTGTGGTGAGTTTTCTTCTTTGCTTGTTTCCTGGGAAGTCGTTTCTGTGTAGCTGCTGATGTGTCCTATCCCATCCCAGTGTACCCCGTGTCTCATTCTCTCACCATATCTCTCCCTCCCTCGCCCCATCTCTCCGTGCGTCCTCCAGCCGGTGCCCCCCGTGGACACATCTCGGGTGGTGGTGGAGCGGTGGATCACAGCGGTGGAGGAGACAGACCCCGCCACGGGGCAGTCCATCCGCCTGCTGCTGGGCGACCTGCCCTACAGCGCCCCGCCCACTGAGACGCCCCGGGAGGTGAGTCACTGCCCATGGGGGAATGCAACGTGCAGTGCAGTGCAGTGCAGTGCAGTGCAGTGCAGGCACCCCAAGACCCATTCAGTACTCGTGCCGGTTCTCTCCTCCCTGCGCCCTCCCTGGCTTCTGTATGTTCTGTATGCCCCAATGTTCAGCAGCAGAGGTAATTCTGTTCTCTTTTCTTCCGTGCGCCCCCTATTGGCTGTGTCACACCGGTGTGTGTGTCACTTGACAGAACTCGGAGGAGCTGTGGCACCTGATTAACCTGACGCCGGACGCGCACCCCATCCACCTGCACCTCATTCAGCACCGCCCGCTGTGGCGCCGCCCCTTTGACCTCGCCGCCTACAGCAACGGCACCTGCTCCTTCACCAACGCGGCGCTGCCGTCGTGCTTCACGGGCGCGCAGCAGCCCGTGGCGGCGTATGAGCGCGGGTGGAAGGACACCACCATCCTGCCACCCGCCACCGTGCTCACCCTCTGGACGCCCTGGTACTCCCAGGTGAGCCCTCCCTCTCCCTGGTACTCCCAGGTGGGTCGGTCCACCTTGGTACTCCCAGGTGAGCTCTCCCTCTCGCTGGTACTCCCAGCCCACTTGACACCCAGGTCAGTCAGTCCACTCCGTCCCTTGTTTCTCTATGGGTAGCTAGTGCTGCTGTGCACTGGCCAACTGGCTGCCTGCTGCTGCCCACTTGCCAACTGACCATCCTGGTGTGCGTTGCATGCAGGACGGCACGCCCTTCCCCTTTGACGCGACACGCGGGCCGGGGTATGTGTGGCACTGCCACATTGTGGAGCATGAGGACAACTCCATGATGCGCCCCCTCATCATCACCAAGTGACTTGACGCGCCCCCTCATCATTACAAAGTGATGACATCTCAATGACGTGCCCCCTGTCAAACATATATGCTGCATATTGTCTAGGCTGTAGTGGGGTAGCCCATATGGGGTACAGCCCAATTAGGGTTTACTACTTGTACTCCTGCATGCTGCTAATTCATCCCATTCCTGCTGCTAGATTCTGACATGGTTTCAGAGCACTAAGGTCCGTAGGACCGTTTTTTTCGGGCCCACCTACCGCTGCGGTTACCGCGCTACCCCACGTACCTGCCTGCCTTGCCTTGCCTTGTGACGTGCTGCACTATGTGCGCCGTCCAGCAGCCCTAGCGCTGCCTCCTGCTGCCCTAGGCCAGCGCGCTGCCCCTAGAGGCCCGTAAGGCCCACGCGCCGCCCCTAGAGGCCCGTAAGGCCCGCGCAGCCTGCTGCAGCCGCGCGCAGCCCGCACAGAGCCCGCGCAGCCCGCGCCGAGCCGCGCGCAGCCCGCTGCAGCCGCGCGCAGCCCGCACAGAGCCCACGCAGCCCGCGCCGAGCCGCGCACAGCCCGCTGCAGCCGCGCGCAGCCCGCACCGAGCCGCGCACAGCCCGCTGCAGCCGCGCGCAGCCCGCAGCTGCCGCGCGCAGCCCGCGCCGAGCCCACGCAGCCCGCGTCGAGCCGCGCGCGGCCTGCTACGGCCTCGCGAGGCCCGCGCGCGGCCCGCAGCAGCCCGCGCCGAGCCGCGCGCGGCCTGCTACTGCCTCGCGCGGCCCGCGCGCGGCCCGCAACAGCCCGCGCCGAGCCGCGCGCGGCCCGCTACTGCCTAGCGCGGCCGCGCGCGGCCTGCAGCAGCCCAGCGCGCTGTCAGCGCAGCCCGCGCCGAGCCGCGCGCGGCCCTCTGCCTCGGCCACGACCTGCCGCTGATGCGGCCCCGCCCTGCAGCTACCACGGCCCCGACCTGCCGCTGATGCGGCCCCGCTCTGCAGCTGCCACGGCCCCGACCTGCCGCTGACGCGGCCCCACCCTGCTACTGCCGCTGAAGCGGCCCCGCCCTGCAGCTGCTTCGGCCCTGCTCTGCAGCCGGTTTTGCGGCCCCGACGCCGCCGCTGTCGTGCGCCTACTCGGCCGCCGCCCGTCGAGCGCCGGCCCTGCTCGCCCGGTGAGCGCCTGCTCTCCCAGCCTTTGGTGAGCGCCTGCCTGCCTGCCTGACGGCCTGCCTGTCTGCCTGCCTGCCTGCCGGCCTGGCTGCCTGCCTGCCTGCCGGCCTGCCTGCCTGCGCGACTGCCTGCCTGCCTGCCGGCCTGCCTGCCTGCCTGCCGGCCTGCCTGTCTGTCTGCTTGCCTGCCTGCCTGCCTGCCTGCCTGCCTGCCTGCCTGCCTGCCTGCCTGCCTGCCTGCCTGCCTGCCTGCCTGCCTGCCTGCCTGCCTGGCTGCCTGCCTGCCTGCCGGCCTGCCTGCCTGCCTGCTTGCCTGCCTGCCTGCCGCGCCTGCCTTGCCCGCGCTACTGCTGCTGCTACTGCTACTGGCAGGTGGCCAGATGCAGCTCCAGCGACGTTCACGCGAGCCTCTGACGCCCCAGCAGCTTAGTGAGTGGTATACTAGCTGGGGTTGTCGCAGTAGCCGTCGTAGCTGTCGCCCTGGAGCTGGTCAGTTGGGAGCGTCTGGCAGTGGCCAGCTACAGCTGCAGGGGCGTCCACGTGAGACACTTACGCCCCGGCAGCTCCAGGAGTGGTACGCTCAGTGTAGCAGGTCTATGCGTACAGTTCGCTGCCCGTACGTCATTCGCACAGGTGCTAGGACTGGTCAGCCTTGTGGGACGCTTGGTCACACACAGTCCCGCTGCTTCGCTCGTCTGAGCGACGACTGGCGCACAGTGTTTGGCGACGAGGCTGAGCTCCCCACCTGGCTGGAGCTGCATGGACAGAGGGTAGATATCTTTGCGCTTGACTATGATGCTATTCTCACTGCCATGTATGCATTGCCTACTAGTGCTGATCGTGCCTGTTATCTGTGCGTACCGCCTGACCCTGGTGAGGCTGCTGCTCTAGGTGCTAGTGCGTCTCCTGCTCTAGGTGCTGGTGAGGCTGCTGCTCTCGGTGCTAGTACGTCTACTGCTCTAGGTACTGGTGAGGCCGTGGCTTCAGGTGCTGGTGAGTCTGCTCTCTCTGGTACTGCGCCAACTACGGTCTCGCACACCTTCACCCTTGACTCAGGAGCTTCTCGCTCCTTCTTTCGCGACTGCACCACACTCACGCCGCTTAGTCGGCCAGTTCCAGTCTCCCTGGCGGACCCCTCCGGGGGTCCAGTCCTTGCCCACTACTCCACGGTTCTGCCGTGTCCGGCCGTCCCGTCCGGCTCGCTGTCAGGTCTTTACCTCCCCTCGTTCTCTACGAACTTGGTGAGTGGAGCTGACCTCCAGGATCGGGAGGTTGACCAGTTCACTCCTGCGAGTCAGCGAGTGACTCACTGTACGTGTGCTCGGACGGGCCGACACCTGGCCACGTTCACCCGTGCACCTGGCTCGAGTCTGTACACACTGACCACTGAGTCCCCTCAGGTAGCTGCGTCTGCGTCTACGTCTGGTCAGCTGGCGGCCCCCTGCGAGTGTCGCGCTTTGTCGCACGACACTCTCCTGTGGCACCACCGTCTTGGTCACCCCTCCTTGCCTCGCCTGCGTAGCATGCACTCTCGCTCCCTGGTCTCTGGTCTTCCCAGGTCTCTGCCTGCCCTCCCTCCCTCGCCTGCGCCGCCCTGCATTCCTTGCGTCGAGGGGCGGCAGCGCGCCGCTCCTCACTCCTCCTCGTTTCCTCCCACAGAGGCTCCCCTGCAGACGCTCCACCTGGACGTGTGGGGCCCAGCCCGCGTCCAGGGACAGGGCCGCGAGCGGTACTTCCTGCTGGTCGTCGACGACTACACGCGTTACACCACGGTCTTCCCCTTGCAGAGCAAGGGGGACGTCCCTGATGTTTTGATCCCTTGGATCCGCGCTGTTCGTCTCCAGCTCCGCGAGCGGTTCCGGCGGGATTTTCCTGTCCTACGTCTGCACTCTGACAGAGGTGGTGAGTTCTCCTCTGACCTCTTGGCAGCCTACTGTGCGGAGCACGGCATCACCCAGTCGTTCACGCTTCCGACCTCTCCACAGCAGAATGGGGTTGCTGAGCGTCGCATTGGCTTAGTCATGGAGGTCGCTCGTACCTCCATGATCCATGCGGCTGCCCCCCATTTCCTGTGGCCGTTTGCGGTCCGGTACGCCGCGCATCAGCTCAACCTCTGGCCCCGTGTCTCCTTGCCGGAGACTTCGCCCACACTGCTGTGGACGGGGAAGGTTGGTGATGCGTCGCGTTTCCGGGTCTGGGGTGCTCGTGCCTTTGTCCGCGATACCACCGCGGACAAGCTCTCCGCCCGCGCTGTTCCCTGTGTCTTCCTTGGCTTTGTCCCTGACGCGCCTGGTTGGCAGTTTTACCATCCCACCTCGCGCCGTGTCTTTGCGTCTCAGGACGTCACGTTCGACGAGTCGGTTCCCTTTTACTGTCTCTTCCCCTACCGCACTGCCCCGCTCCCCCCCCGCCGCTCTTCCTCGCTCCAGGTGCTCCCCAGGTAGACCCCCTCCCCACTCCTGGTCCTGCTCCTTCAGGTGTTTCTCAGGTAGACCCTCCTCCCTTGACTGCGCCGGTTGAGGTCACTGGTGACTCAGGTCCTACTGAGGGTGGTCCTTCTCGGGGTGCTACTTCTAGGGGTGCTGAGCCTGGGGGTGCGGAGCCTGGGGGTGCTGAGCCTGGGGGTGCTGAGCCTGAGGGTGCGGAGCTTGAGGGTGTGGAGCCTGGTGGTGCTGAGCCTGAGTGTGAGGGGTCTGGGGGTGCTGAGCTTGGCGGTACTGACGCTGGAGGTTCTGGAGCTACTGAGGGTGCTGGCGCTGGAGGTTCTGGAGCCGCTGGAGGTACAGGTGCTGAGGGTACTGACACCGGAGGTTCTGGAGCCGTTGGGGGTGCGGGCGCTGAGGGTTCTGAGTCTGCTGTTGCGCGGTCTCCTTGGAGTAGCCGCCTTCGTCCACGTGTGCCTCTCACCCCACAGCAGCTGCAGGACTGGTACGGTCGCCGTCAGCGTCGCGCTGCTGGAGCTAGGAGTGGTGCTGGACCTTTGTCTACTGGAGGTGCTGGAGTTGCTGGTTCTGGAGGTGCTCGTACTGGAGACACTGAGGCTGGAGACCCTGGGACTGGAGGTGCTGGCTCTGGGGGTGCTGCTGCTGGAGACACTGAGGCTGGAGACCCTAGGACTGGAGGTGCTGGTTCTGGGGGTGCTGTTGCTGGAGACACAGAGGGTGGAGACCCTGGGACTGGAGGTGCTGGTTCTGGGGGTGCTGCTGCTGAGGACACTGAGGCTGGAAACCCTGTGACTGGAGGTGCTGGTTCTGGGGGTGCCGCTGCTGGAGACACAGAGGTTGGAGACCCTGGGGCTGGAGGTGTCGGCTCTGGGACTGGAGCTTCTGGAGCTGCTGGAGGTACTGGAGCTGCTGGAGGCACTGGAGCTGCTGGAGCTGCCGCTCCTGGTGCAGCTGCGCCGACACGACGGTTCTTCGCTCCGCCGTCTCCGTCGTCTCTGCCGCCGTCTGACTCTGTTCTTCGTCAGGTTCTTACTCTCCCGTCGTCTACTGGTCTTCCGTTACAGCCTGGCTCACCGCTGCCTGCTCCTTCTCCTTACACTGTGCAGACTGGTAGTCCTGCTGAGCGTCGTGAGCCTGCGTCGCGTCCTGTTTCGCCTGTTCGTCCTAGTCGTACCGGTCGTCGTGTTCCTCGTTCGCGTCAGCCGGCTGTCCCCAGCGCACACCTCGTAGTCCGTCGTCCTTCCTCTGCTCCGCAGCCTGTTCCTCTGCCGTCTCCTCCTGCGTCCTCTTTGCCTGACGTTCCGGACCCTGCGTCTGACCGGTTTCATGCTGAGCACCCTACTGTCACGCGTCTACTAGCCACAGTTGTCACTGACCCGTCGTTTGAGTCTGCTGCTGCGTCTGCTCTTGTCGCTGAGCTTGTTGA